TTGTGGGGTTGACAACCAGAAATCCTGAAAATGTACTTATGGAAGCAAATCCTACTATGCTAGTAAAGGATTACAAGGATCCGAAGTTATGGGCAGTCTTAGAGGAGCTTGATAAGAAGGCAGATTCTTTGAAAGCAGCAGCTAGAGCTTAAATGCCAGAGCAGTTTAGGAGGTTTTATTCTATTTGCATAATAATTCTGTAAGAGAGGTCAAAACCCTTCCCACATGAACCCAAATTATATTTGATAAGCAATACTCGAGATGGGATTGAATACTTTCATTGCCCGAGTTTCATTCCATGACGGTTGTGATATTATTATTTTTTTCCTTTCGATCACGAACACCATACTTTTGGAAAACAGATTAAAAACATTGCAGATTTACTGTACATAGGCTAATATAGACATGGATTAAGAAAGCTGTTTACTTCACACTTCAACAAAAGCATTCCAAAGATGACACTGGTTTCATCTGGCCCATGCAACTGACTCGCAGATTTGTATAAATCAAGCCTCTTGACACATTGTTGCCTCCTTTCCATCAATGCAGGATCTTCATCCAATAACCGTGCCAGCTGCTTGCCCTACAAGAAAATAATGAAAACAAAGCAGCAAAGAACTCTCACTATGAGTCGCAACAGTCAAAATAGAATCCATTCACAATCAAATTACCGAGTTGGTATCAAATGGATGTCTGAAATGAAGGTATGTGCATGTGAGAGAATGCAGGAATAAAGATTTTTGGAACCTCCTTTTTACCCAGTTGTATATAGAAAGGATCAGACGACTGCTTGGCCTCCCTCCACTTGGCAATAAACCACAGCCTTAAGAAAGGTATTTCTAAGCATATCAGACACCATCCTTATATAAAAGTGAACATTTGATCCTATTCTGCAGAAGTGACCTTCAGCATATCTATCTGCACATGAGGAAGTCGGGTTTCCACCTTTCTCCGCTTCTTGGGGCAGTTTCTGAAAGAAATCCAGAGACAAATATGATAACTCCATGTCCACCATCCGCAAAGTTGTTCTCTTACTCTCTTCACGAAACCTCTCCAATGCTTCATTTGCAGCTGCTTTGATTTCAGCTTGAATAGTTGGAAAACTCTTCAACTCCTGTTGAATTCCAAAAGATGGAATTACGTTCTTCCATTATCCCTAAAGTATAACAATTTCATCCATGAAGCTACGGAAGTTTCAAACTCCAAACTCGAGTCTCTGCAATTGACCTTACAAGCTCTTTCAAAACAAAGTGAACCTGCAACAAAGTTCACTAATCACTGCAGATGAACTAGCTTTTAAAGACTGAAAATGCGATAGATATTTAGTTTTATTTTAAATCCAGCAAGCAGCATAGTACGAACCCTCAGTAAAGAAAACACCTACAAGGCTACAAAACCCTCTCCATTCCACTTACCTCCAAGAAGCAGTCAAATTTAACAGAGAACCAAGCAAGTTAACAAGAGAATGCCACCTTGAATGGGAACTTAAAGCATCAACTGAAGCCTCCGCTGGGCCTCTGAAGTAACTAAGTGCACCATCAATGAGACGTCGGTAGCCTTGCTCAGGAGCGATTAAATACGGTTGATACCCATCTGCCTCTGAGACTACTTTCTTTATGTTTTGCAGTGACAAATGACGGTCAAATGGAAGCTTCCTTAAAGCAGCAGGCAGCTGATGGTGAAAAACTCCATAGATGCGGCCTCCACCTGGCTGCCTAGAGAATGATTGAAACAGGTTGATAAAGTACTATGATTGTATCATATTATATGATTCATCTGTGCTGCAATAATGGAAGTTAAAAGAAAGGGGTTATAAATAGTACCCTCCATTCAAGTGCTCCTTGAAGATCCAATCAAATGCTCGGCATAACTCCAGGATAGTGTATAATTGAGCCTGATATATAAAAGCAATAAGGTATAAAATAAGTTGATTAACAAAATCTATGAATATCCTAATATGAAGAAATAAGAGAGCAGTTTAGAGGCTTATTCAACAGCAACAGATCAACCGAGATGGGACAACTCCACATCAAGTTCTTCGATTCTTTTGTTAATTAAAGAAGTAATGCCAGGAAGTTGGGCTCTAATTACAGATTCCAAATGCAAACACCGAAGAAATATTCTAATAAGTATACATACATACTATACAGAAATGCAAATAACTGGGAAACAAAACCTGTGGTAGAACTTGCGCTCCTTCCGCCTAGAAACAATCATGTTGACGTTTTTGTGAACGGTTGACGATTCCAACCCAAGGGTGTTGAAGTGAATAAGCTCTTCCCTCAAGAACCTGAATTTAAAAAAAGAAAAGCAAACATGCGTAAACTGGGAAAGTAGAGAAGATAAGCCATATTGTATATGAATCCCTATTCAATGTATTAACCAAAAACATAGATCCTTGGATAAAAATCAACATCAATGGAGGTGCGGGGAATCGAACTCCGTGCCTCTCACATGCGAAGCAAGCGCTCTACCATATGAGCTACACCCCCAATGTTGAAAATATTCTTTAACATATTATAAAAAATAAAAATAACTCATTTTGTCATGAACAGGTGATGAAATAAATGAGTAGCATATTTATTACCTTCTCAACATATGAGCCAACCATGCTTTCTATGTCTATCCATTTTCAGTCCTCAATCCAACGAATCATACAATTACATATTCCTCAAATATATAAAGACCATTTACGGTTTTTTAAAATTTAGTTATCATATTAGTATCTTTATTTGAACATTTTGATCAATCTTTAATGCATATTTACTTTTTTTTCATTAATTGTTGATTTGATAGTTATTTAAAAAAGTAAAATTAACTTTGGGTAAACTACATATTTAGTCTCTTAACTATTATTTTAATTATGTTTTTATCATTATATAGATTTTTTTCAAAATCATACATAATGTTTTGGTTTCATTTTGGTCACACGTAAAAATTAACAAAAATATTATTTTTTTTTGGTTTTTTTTCAATGATGGCATGTCATTCATTATTTTATGGTGACACATCAGCATCACCATTATTTTCTTAACAGCAGGTGAATGCAATGAAACCAAAATCTAACATTATTGATGATTTTGAAAAGGAAAAAAAACAACAGTTGGATGACTAAAATGAAACTAAATTGATAATTAGATTACTCAATATGTAATTTAGCCAATACATTTTTGTCCTTCTACAAATTTATAAATTCTATGTTTAAAACGAACCATAAACATTAATAACTGAAAGAATTTATTGTTCATTTTAATAATATTTATTTCTCTTTATAGATGGAAAACTTGAGAAAAGTTGTTCATAAAAAGTTGTTGTTTTTTTCGTATATGGATTTATATATATTTTATTCCATAGTATGTTTTGCATATATGGAGTTTACTTGTAGTAAGACCACCGTGATTTTTGAAGGATAAAGACGTGTGCGCCATTGGCGATGACAGTAAGCAAAGATCGAAAAAAAAATGGAGGTGAGGGGAACCGAACCCCGCGCCTCCAGCATGACAACCGAGCGCTTTACCATATGAGCTACACCCGCCGTGTTAAACTTTTAAGTATTATTTTGTTAACATCTTAGAACCTGAAATCATCATTATACATGATTGTGAGTGGATTCTTTACATGGTCTAAAACAGCATTATCATAAGTAGGGCGTGAAGGATAACTACGCTGACCATATTTCTATTGAGACAAGAACAATTTTCTTCAAAATAAAGGGGTCAATCATTTTCTTATTAACATGTGATCAAATGAGTAGCATATTATAATAGATAAACCAGTCCATAAGATAGTACAGAAACCATCGAAGACAACAGGCTTGTAAGCTGAGAAGGCGTCTATCACAGCAAAGAAATATAAAAACTACAATTTCCAACTTTTTATATGCATTTTTTGAAGTATTAATTTTATACACTTTAATAAGGTTTTATACTATTAAAATTTTAATAATTCAATCATTGAACTCATAATATAATTGTATTTATTATGCATCTAAATTTTTGAATCAATCAAATATATCTTTTATGTTGATATAAAATGATGTATTTATTAAAAAATACCAGGTAAAATTTAAATGAATAGAACATAAAATTCAACGGGTTAAATTGTTACGAAAAAATTTATTTAATATCATGTAAATTTACACATAATCACTCTTGGGTTTAGAGTGCAATGCTTTGAAATCGTCAAAAGAGAATCATAATTTGACTACTTTTTCCTCAAGTAGCATAATGGGTAATGACAGTTGCGTTCATTGCCTGTATACAAAATTAAGGTATTAACACTTACCAAGCGCTCAAAGGGGGAAGTCCTAGGTAGAGATCCAAAGACAAACCACTAGACAAACCTAGTTTAGATATATATATAAGGGAGGAACACGAGTATATACACTCATAGATAGATTAAGAGGAGGCGAGTAAAGCCGATCATTCTCTAAAAACTTTAATTTACCATCTATTTTTGATTATTCTTATATTTTGTATTTATAATCTTTTTTTCACTATTAATTTTTTATAAATTCGTCTCTTTTTAAAATTTTATAAATGTATTCCTTCTAACATGAAATCTTACATAAATATGATTTTAACAAAATTCTTAACGGTATCCTTAAGGATTAAAAGCCCTTAGACGTTAAAGGGTAAGAACATATATCAACTTCAACACGCAGAACCATAAATATGATTTTAACAAAATTCATAACGGTATCCTCAGCTGCTACTTGTCTTTATTTGAACTACTTTCCGACAATATAATGATACCATCTGTCCTAAAATAGGTTGATGGAAATACTTAATTGATGGAAAACTCTGGAATGCATGCCACATATTGAAATGCACCATTAATTTTATAGGGTAAAACTTTTAAATGGTCATGTTAAAATAATCTTTTTAAACATTGAACTTTTAGAACTTATATGATAGGCATTAAATTGACAACTTATATGAGGAGAGTTCTCTCCTCACAGGACAACAGCAGTCAATAAAGCTTTGAAACTACTCTGTTCGGACTAGTTTTGAACATCCAACAGCTTCCTCATCATGCAAAGCTAGTTTATTACAAGACAAACAGGAATCAAACTTCTCATTCTCCACTCATGAACTCGATGAATACAAACTCTAAGAGATCATACAAGACTGGTTCCTACTTCTAATCATATGTACGTCAACAAAAGAACTGTTAGCTCGATCCCAGTCCCGATCTAAGCTGTGTTCAATATGCTACTTCTAACTAATCCATGTTACACGGACTTGGGATGAGTATCAAATACATACACTTTTGTCCGATATTGATATTTTCCATTTCCTTCATCTATTCCGAGGACCGGTTGCCGTTACCAAGAGAACCCGTAAATGATATTACAATGCACTTGGGACTTCTACATCAGAACCTAATTTGCAGTCTGTCTGCAAAGCCGATAACCAAGTGTCCACCTAGGAAAAGATAAAAGAATCAAAGGTTTTTAAAAAATTAAAAAAAAAAAAAAACAATTATATGAATATATATTGAAGTTCTAGTGTAGGTTGTCCAGAATTCAACTTTGCTCCAAGGGTGGGAATAAACATTCTACTTTTTTATGTATGCATATTATGTATGAAAAAACAAGGTATACCTGTACTTTAGAAACATGCGAACACTCGTAACGCAATCCTTGACCAGTTAAGATATAAAAGGCATATTGTGTCCCTTCATCTTCTCTTATAAAGCTTGGCAGAGAACCTACTTCAACAACATCAGACAGAAGTGTGGAATCTTGAGGACTCAAATCTGCAAAGTGAGAAGTTGATCAGAAAGTAGTGTTTATAGTCCCCAGCCTGTGCTGAGTTTATATTCGACCAGCCTATTGTATGAATCCTTCATTGTTAGTGGTCATGTTTGACCAAGTTGAGTTAAGAGTATCTTGAAAGACATTATTTGAGACCTAATGATGCGTTCATTAAAGCTGAGAACAATTAGAAACCACTTGAACATCTTGAATTTGAAATTTCAGCTACTCCTTTGTGTCAATTTCCATATTACATCAACCATGCACCATCATGCATCACTGAATCCGGATGCAACTTGTAATACTAAAAGAAGAAAAAGGGAGAACACATCAGAGGCTGATTACCTGCGGAGAATAAATAGAAGAATATACATTGGCCATGAAGAACAATGAATCTAGGAAGCCAGTCATCAACATCAGTATCATCAACAGGAGCAGGTTCTCCAGGTAAAGCTGTCCACCTCTGCGAATGAAAAGATTCGTAGAAAAATCATTACTCAGAACAGTACCAGTGCATGAACAGAGAGGATGCAGCATAAACAAAATATGACGTAAGATAGGAAAGGGAGCGTATTCATACAGTTCGGACGTACAAATAGCCAGAAAGACGTGCAGACCGCAAAATTTCATCAATATGTTCCAACCTGCATAAAACAGAAATATCAATAAAAGAAATGTAGAAATATTGTGTCTAGAACTCATTACATCAATCCTGCTAGGTATTGTGGATATATCATCTCAGGAAAAAACATAAGTAAACACAGAAACATCAATGGTTCAGGGATCATTATTTTCTAGAAGAACTCCATGTAACTGCCAGTTTCAGAAACAGTAACTCAAAATTCTAGAATCAGGTATAATTCTTTCTTCTATTAATTAAAGGCTCAAACTGTCAAACATCATCTGGCCACTGCGTGAAATTACGATGGACAGTCGGACACACATAATTGGCTCATGGTTCAAAAGTCAAGATTCAACTCCTTACTGAGCTTTCAAGTACGCTTCTCTCTCTTCTATATCGGCAAGTTCTGATCTTAGTGATTCCAACTCCGCAGCAGTCAACTGAACCTGCAAATGAAAATAAAGATTCTGGTGATAAGCAATGCCTGACTATCAATAAAACCAAATGGCAAGATTCAAAGAGGATAGAATATGAACCTTTTCCAGACCATCAGCACCAATCCAAGGCAAGCCTCGTAAACTGAACAGATTCAACATGAATGCAGCCTTCCTAAATTTTCGATGAGACCATAAATTGCTACGGGACCTATCCTAAGGCAGAACCAAAAGACATTGTGATAAGACAAACTAGAAATCCTTAATCTCTTCTCTTTTTGACCTTCAGAAAGTAATACCTCGAAGAATTTCCAGTACTTGGTTGTGCATCAGGTGAACTTCTGTTTTGAAGAGAGTCACCCCTGTGAGGAGTTGAGACTTGAAAATGATCTGGAATCACCTTGATATTCCCAAAACCGTCATCCATAAAGTTACATTCACTGTAGGACGATTTACAAGCTTATTACCCATAAAAACAAATATGGCAGCCGGTTCATAAAGTACAACAAAAACTTAAGAAGATAGAACAAGCTTCCAAGTCCTGAATTTCTGTAAGAAAGTGGAAGGAGTCAGTGCTTTAGTCACCAACTTATTCAGCAGACTTTAAAACAAATGGCAACATTCCAGAGAAGCTGATAAGAGAAAACTTGGTTCCAAATGATAAGCAAATTAATTTCCCAAAGGGGATTGAAGTTCATTCAGAAAAATAAGTGCATGACCTTACAAACATTGAAGACTATACGCTATTAAGATTTCAGGTTCATATGGAAGCACACAACTAAGATATCTAGATGGACATGTTAAAATCAATAAAAAGGTTACAAGATTGGTTCCTTCTTGTCAACTAGCTAATCTGTAGAAAACTACAAGTACAAGTTGTCTACTTAAATGAAAATTAAAAAAAAAAAAGTAGGGAATGTATCAGCCTCATTTATGTGCCGGAAGCACAAAAAATTAAGACTTAAAAATCACAATAATAATCATCAGTTAGACTTATAATATAAATAAAATTGCTTAAAGCTCTACTGTTTCGTAAGCCCTAACCAGAAATTAATTAGCCAACATACTGTATAACAGGGACAAGGTTTCCATGAACAGGAAACAAAAACAAACCATTGAATATCTATCAGTTCTTTATATACATACCAAAAGTGGATCAATTAAACCATAACTAACTGCTCGAACAACCAGAAAAATAATTCCCATGGAAAAAGAAAAACATGATCAACAGCTAAAACGACAACTAAAAGAATAAACCTAGTAAAAACATAATTCAGATTAATCTAAATCCGATCAAAATAAGTAAATAACAAAGGTTGAGCATAGTTTACGGAAACAGTTGATCTCTTGAATCGTAGCAGCAGGGAGAGCAGAAGAAAAAAGAACAAGTTGGACAATGATTTGATTAGCAGATAGACCTTTCCCTTTTTATATTTACCGGTGGAAACAGACAACAAGGATGCAGAAGAAACAGATTTTGAGTTTCACTTTCACCAAAACTGTTTCGACTTTCGACATTTTTCAAACCATCGCCGGTCTGTCGAGTTCTGACCTTTGATCTTACTCCTATATGGAAAAGACCACCACACCCCCACTTTGTTTTCTTTTGAGTGTCTGTTTAAACTCACCAAAATAAATAAATAAAAGTATATTCTTGTAAGGTAGGGTTAGATTAGGATAATGCGGCTGCAATATCATAATTATAATTAAGGTATCACTAAATTAAATTAAAATATTTTTTTATTATTGAAAATTTAAAATATATATTATATTTTATTTTGAGATTTTTTAGATATTTTTATACAATAATTTCAAAAAGTTTATAAAATCATTTTCTAAAAATTTATAATTTATCTTCCTAATAATGCTTTACGGCTGATCTAGTAATGCTTCATTTTCCTAAGAAATTGTACATTTCATGGTAATTATGAAATTAATTCCATGTGCAACATGCCTGGGGTTGGTTGATCTAAGTTTGAAAAAAAATTAGTGTTGTTTCTAACTCGTACCCTTAATGGTCCGTTTCTTCTAATTAGTTAAAACATGTTATAAGGTGAACAGAAATTAAGAGTTGGTGGTCATGAAACGACAATTGAGACATGTATACTGTTTCCTGGAGGACTGAATTCTTCCTCCCTTTCTTCTTCTCCAATGCAATTTCCTCTTCTCTTTCCGTTCCACTATGCTCCGATTTCTCACAGGGCTACCATCGACGGACCTAAAGGCAGCTATAGGCTGAGTCTCATCTTCCTGCAATAGTTAGCAGTCCTTAAACTTTGTATTGTGCAGTGGCTACTATCGATGCTACCCCCGGGTGGCATGATGATGGTTGCAGGTCGAGTTTTATCTCCCTACAACAGTCGCTAGTCAATGGATACATCGCTTTCCGCAATGGCTCGTAGAAAGATTTCCCGACAACAATGCTTGTGACTCGCTTTAGTTTAGGAGCCGTGAGGGAGGAGGAAGTGGTTGGTTATGAAGTGACTAAAACATTGCTTTCAGCTATGACTCGTCTAAAGATTTCCCGACAACAATGCTTAAGACTGGCTTTAGTTTAGGAGCTGCAATGGAGGAGGTGATAGATTATGATGAATGTATAAATATAAAGGACTAAAATCATTATTATTCCAATTAGAAACACCAATTCTGTTATCTCACTATTATTATGCTAAATAGACAGTTTTTATTTTTATTTTAATATTGTATATCTTCGGCACTCGTGTTTCATCTTCTTTCTTATAATAACTGAGAGATAATTTTACCCTTTCAGTCTTGTTCGACCGTTGGACTTATTTTTTAGTGAATGGTGAGAATAAAGTGAATGGAATGTGTAATCACCATTTTTACCTCTCCATTCCAGCATCTCCACGTTGCATTTCCAGCAATTTCCAGCAGCTGCAGCAGCCCCTCCACGCAGCATTTCCAGTAGCTTCCAGCGACAGCTGCCCCTCCACGTTGCAGCTACAAACAGCCTCCAGCAAGCCGGGACAGCAGCCCCTCCACGTCCCAGTTCCAGTGGCTTCCATCACCTCCTTTGGCCAGTGACTCACCGGGTTATCCTCCTTTAACTGGTCCAAAGGGTGTACGAAAAAGCCTATAAAAAAACCCCATCAATGAAGCAAAAGATGGATGGGGCAGAGCAATCAAACAGAAAAAAATAAAATAGAGTGAAGATACCGAGTACCTTCGTCAGAGCATCCAAATCACCGGAAAACCACCAAAAAAACCGAAGGTAAAAATTTAGATCTACGGAGTTTGGGGGTTTTTTCAGAACAAGAGGAAGCCGGAATCGGATTTAGAAATAAAAGAGGATTTTTTTGGTAATTTTGTAAAATTTCGGCCACCGTCGACGGTGGCCGGCGACAGTGACCGACCGGTCACCGGTATTACTCCGGTGAGGGAGCTCTAGAGAGAAGCTAGAGCTTCTCTCTCTAAGAGAGAGAAGCAAATGGAGAGAAATGATAATTTAGGCCTATTTTGGCATATTTATACCCTTACCAAAACGACGTAGTTTTGGTGAGGGCCTCTGTGTAATTTCCCGCATGGGAAAACCATATGCATTATCCTCCTGATTTTATAGACTTATATTTTAGTCACTAAATTAAGTTTTCGAGCATTTTAATTTTGTTCCTGAATTTTATTTTATTATATTTTAGTCCTTTCCCGTAATTATGTAATTTAGGGTAAATAATATATTTAGCCCCTGTAACTTTATTAACTTTTAATTTAATCCCGAATAATTAATATAAGATAAATCATATTGTTAATACTTAGTTTTTATAATATTTTAAATTAGAGCTTTTAATTTTAATATGTTATAATTTAGTCCTTAATTTTAATACTTTCATTTATTTTACAAGTTTTATTACCGTTTATATTTTAATAATATAATTTTATTTTTATTTATTTTAGTCGTTATTTATTTTTATATGTTTATATATTTAATTATTATTGATTATTATTATGTATCATATAAATATATATAATAAATAATATATTTTTTTATTAAAATCCTATATTTCGTAAAATATTTTTAATAATCATATTTTAATATATATATATATATATATTTTTAATATTAAGAAAAAGACTGTCTTAAAACACCTAGAAGTATGTTTTCTGATATTTTTAAATATGATATTTTTAAATTATATATTAATTGTTTTAATTATTTATTTATTTTTTAATATCAAAGAAAAGAGCTGTCTTAAGGCACCTAGAAGTCATTTTCTGATATTTCTAAATAAATAAATATCTTAATGTATAAATTAATAGATTTTCTTAAAAATAAGTTTGAAATAACAGAATTATTAATTAAATATATTTTGAATTTTTAATTTTTAATAATAGAGAGAATTTATATTAAAAAGTACCAATTTTGGGCGTTGTAGGGGTGCTAATCCTTCCCTAAACGTAACCGACCACGAATCCCTTTTTATTATTAAAAAGAACGAATTTTTGGTTAAAACGCATATCAATTTATCTTTTAATTGATGTTTTCTTAAAAACTCTTTTAAAAGATATTTTTAGGTATTCAACCTACCTGACCCAAAAGGCCGATGGCGACTCCCAAATTATTTTCAAAACCATTTATTCACATCACTTTTCCAGTCAAGTAAATATTTCGTGCCCGGACGAAAACCGGTTACGACAGCTTGGCGACTCCACTGGGGAAGCTAGTCAAACTTTAAAATCAATTATAAATTGTCTCTATTAATTAAAAATTAAAAATTCATATATTTAATTTTAATTCTTTCTTTTCAAAATTTTTATATATACTTATTATTTTCATAATATTTATATGTATATATATTTTTTAATGTTTCATTTTATTTTTCAAGTATTTTATTTCATTATTTATTTTTCTATCAAAGGTTTGAACATTTCTCCTCACACACAACACTTGCATTGCATAAACATAATCTCTATAATTGAGATTTATCCCTTTTAAGTGGGAGTGAAAGCGACGTCTTCGTGAGAATTTATTCTCCGTGTCAGACCTAGCAAGTAACTTTCGGGGTTCATATGCTCTATGTCTTCGTGAGAATTTATTCTCCGTGTTAGTCATAGAAAAATGTATCCCCTCGAATTGAACTCGGTCCGTTTAAGTCTGTAATGGACTAGGATTGAGGGTTTGATAGCCCAAGGGGGCATCAACAAGGACAGTTCGAGTACCTTTACTCTTAGAACTGAAAACCTGCATATAATAAACCCTAGAAACTCTCCCGATCTGAAACCATGCCGAAATTTTGTCAGTAGGTATACACAAAGGAGAAATAAGCTCTAGCTTTTAATTTATTTTATTTCATTTTCCTGAATAAATGCATGCGAACTAGAAATCGTGCGGTTAAGTTAAATTTTCCAAACAAATCATGGAACTAGAAAACATGAGGTTAAGATTTATACATTGATAAATAGATTTTTTAGTTGGTACTAACTATTCTATTTTTTTTCATGCATATTACATTGCTCTAATATGTTCATATTGATTTCTTTTGTTTGCATTACATGATCATGGCATAACCAAAAGGTGTTGGCTTGAAAGACTGTTCATCATATTGGAAAGAAATCGTAAATGGACAAAAAGTTTTATGATCAAACAAAATATGATACGACCAAGGAAAGACATCCTGAAGAAACTACGAGGATCAAGGGAAGTTCTGCACACAGAGAACCGGTTATATTAATACCAAAAGTAATCCATAAAGATTCTGCCAGATTGATACCAAAAGCAGTATATGGTAAGAGTATCAGTCGGGACATTCAGAGTAGTGGAGATTTTTATGAAGCTCAAGCATGTTATTTGAAGGACTTGAACGACCAAAACGAGAAATTGAGCACAGAAATGAAAACCATGCATGAAGATTTTCAGAAGATCAGTCAAACCTTTCAAAATGCTGGCCTAGAAAGTACCCCAAAAGAATGGATAACAGGGGTCACCAAGCTGAAAAAGAACTGCAACATATATGAAGATCTTGTTCAAGAACTTCTTGGACAGAAAAGATCTCTTACAAGGGAAAATGAGCAACTCCGAGAAGTGACACAGAAAATGAAAGAGAATGTCATGGAAGAGGTTGCAGTCCAGACAAACAATATGTCCCTTAAGTTGATAGACTAATTTGGCTTTGGAGAAGTTAGGAATGAAATATATCCCTATATGTAAAGTTTTGTTTGATGTACCGAAACTTTTGCGTTCAATGAAATCTGTTCTAAGATGATCACTCTTGAGTAACACCTTTTCATACATGCATTTGTATTTTGCATTTGTACATTTTTACGTTTGTATTTACATTTACTTTTTTAAATTTACATCATGCATTAAAACATATTTAATTAAATAATAATGTTTATTTATTTTCAATATCAAAGAAAAGGGCAATCTTAATATAACTGGATGTCCTATTCTGGTATTTTAAATAATTTACATTTACATTTTTACATTTGCGTATTTACATTTGGCATCTTTGCATT